AAGGTCAGGCTGGAGGGCATCCTCGGTACACTCGATTCGCGGGTCCTCGAAGAAGGTATGGGCGCCGTCAAGGTTGTGCTCCACCAAGGCCAGTTCAAACTGGAGGTTAGCAGCCAAGAAGGGGGCGTCCCACTCCGAGACAAAGTCTGCTTCCTGCGCGACTGTGTGCTGCAGGGGGTCCATCGCCAAAAGGCGGCATGGATAAGGCTCCAGTAGACCGCTCGGGCTCATACTGGAGCCTGACCAGGGGCAACGCTGCAGGCGAGGGAGGCACTGATGCCTTTGCACCACCGCCACCATCCTTGTTTTCTGCTTCTGTACCGCCGGCTTTTCGACGGGGCGTGCGCGAGCTTTCCCTCTTTGAGGCCTCCAGCTGCTCCGCCGTCCGCTTCCTGATGCCCTGCAGTGCTGCTTGCACCTGTTGTGCACCCATCAGCTGCGTTTCTCTGGCTTTTTTCCGGGCTTCCTCTTCCTCTTCCGGGGTGGGGCCCGTGTCTGCCAGTTGATCCACGGTCATCTCCTCGTCCACTTCTTCTTCTTCGATGGACAGCAGTCGTAGTTCCGCGCCGGCCTGTCTGAGTGCCGTGGACCACTGGTGCTCCTTGTCGTCGAAGTCCTCCAGCGTGGCCGTTTGCCTGCAGCATCTCCGTGACTGACACCACATAGCTGTGCCACGCCTCCAGATACGCCGTTCTCGCATGCTGTATCGTGGCCAGCTCCTTTTTGGCTTGCGCTTGTGCAGCGACCGCCTTGTGCAGGGTCTTGGCCTCTGACTGTGCCTTGTCCTTCTTTAGAGTCGCCAAGAGCTGCTTCGTCTCCATCGGCAGGTTTTCCATCGATCCTGCCAGTGAACTCAGCAGTGCGTCCAGTTGTGCTTTCTCTGGTGAGGGGCCGCTGGTTTGCAGAGCCGGGCTCGCCTTGGGAGCCACCGGAACCACTGCCGCTGGCTTTGCTGGCAGCAGCGCTAACGAAGGCACACTCGGGCCCTCCTGTTGCGCATCCGCCTGCTTCCCTTTGCCCTGTGGCTTTGCGCCACTGGGTGGTTGGCCGCCTTTCGAGCCGCGTCTTCGTGGCGATTTCCTCCTTGGGGAGGGACCTCTCCATGTTTCCGCTTTCCAGGGGGGCTTGCTGTCTTCCGCTTGGTACGTGTACCAGCTGGCCGTCTGGCGTGCTGGACGCCATGGTTTGCCACAACCTGGGCAGAAGAAGTCCGCTTTGTTCGAATTCTGGCGTTGGCAGCTCTGGCACTTCCAGCCTTTGGCCGAAGTCTCCATAGTTGCTCCGGTTAGTCTCAGTCTCGTCAGGGCACGTCTTGGCAGGGTGCTGCGCGAATGATGCGATTGCAACAATGCCGCCGCCTGCTGTACTTGCACTGTGTTTGACTCTGCTCCCGCCAGGAAGTTGCGCAGCCGAGTACGGGCAGATGTGCGCAAGCGTCGCGCCTTTCGGTGGCGCGCTGTTTCGATCCTCCGCTGTGTGTGACCAGCAATCTTTGCAACCAAGCAGGATACCCACTAGCAGCGATGCAAAGAAGGCCACTTGCATGAATTGCCTGGCCGAAGGAGAGAAAAAACCAGCGGGGCGCCGCTCCCGATCAAAAGGCGCAATAGCAGAGGAAGGGCTCCCAGCTGGCTTGTTGAGAAGCAGCAGGTGGGGCCAAGGGGAGGGGCCAGTTCCCAGAAAAAAGGCCCTTGCAAGGACTGATACCAGGGCGAAACCAGGTCAGTATCAGCCAGCAGTGGAGAAGAACCCAAACAACCAGTGCAAGGGTGTCAGGCACTACTCTGACTTAAGTGCAGTGTAAGCTGCAATCCTTAGGATGAGCAGCTGGCAGCAGCAGTGTACCAGGGCAAACCAGATCAGTAACTGCACGCAGCAAATTCCGACTCCGATGAGGAGGGCGAGGTCGTGGGTTAGGGGTTCGGCACTGCGCACTTGCGGACCAGTGTCGAACAAAAACCACACTAGGGTATCGGGCGAACAGGTGAGGACTCCGAAGAGAAACTACTCGAACCTGCAAGCCAGAACGCCTAGGGATTTAGGGTTTAGGGTTTAGGGCTTAGGGCTTAGGGTTTAGGGTTTAGGGTTTAGGGTTTAGGGTTTAGGGTTAGGAATTTAGGTCGTAGGCGTGGTCCCCTATAAACCCGTCGAATCCACAGTTTGCCCGGCTTGGCTTCCGTGAAGGCCTAGGTTTTAGGGTTTAGGGTTTAAGGTTTAGGGGCTTCAGGGTCTATAGACTTGGTAGCCCAGTGGTACCATTGTCACTTTTTATTTGGTTCAAGGTTTCCTTTTCAAGTAGCCAGCCCAAAAAGGGTGCCCTTACTGGAATATGGCTACTGGGCTACCAAGTAGAGGTTAGGGTATCGTGTTTGGGGGTTGGGGTTTCGGGCACGAGGCGACCTCGACGCCCACGGACGTGACGCTGACGTCCACGTCCTCCACCTGGGGATCACAGGCGTGCCGGGAGCCGTTTCCTGCCCTTCATTTTTGGAGTTTAGGGTTTAGGAGGGTTTAGGGTTCAGAGTTTAGGGTTTAGGGTTTCAGGAACTTTAGGGTTTAGAAGATAAATGGCATTGGAAAGGGGTGCAGGATCTATGACTTTGGAGTTTGGGGTTTTACATGGTCAGTCGCGAAAGCGGCGTCCCTTTAACAGAACGAACTAGATATAGCCCTAAACCCTCAACCCTAGACCCTTGACCCTTGACCCTAGACCCATTTCAGGTAGGTAGGCAGGACACATCAGACACCAGTCTGGGCCTGGACCCGACACCCTAGAAACCCCTCAACCCCTTAACCCTAAGTGGGCCGGGTACTTCCTAAGGTTTGGGGCTTAGGGTTTAGGGTTTGGGCTACTAGGGTACTCCTAAGTGGCCGGGTACTTCCTACCTGGGACTGTCTTCACCTGCAGTTTAATGTGTTACACCTACACATCAAGGGCTAGTTACTGCTAAACTCTAAGGTAAACAGAGTTCCAGGTAGGCCCTGAACCCCAAACCTCAAACCCTCAAGGTTTCCGGTTTAGGGTTTATATATATATATATACATATATATATATATATTAATATCGCCCCTCAACCCCAAACCCTCAACCTTCAACCAACCCTCAACCCTCAACCCTAAACCCTAAACCCCAAACCCCAAACCCCCTCAACCCTCAACTCGAGATGCCGCCGCTGCCGCCGGTGCACCCTGGAATCCTCCTTCACAGTGGCGCACTGGAGGATGATTGTGCTGCAGGGTTTAGGGTTTAGGGTTTCGGGTGTTGTTGAGGGGCTTAGGGGGGTTCAGGGTCTAGGGTTTAGGCTGGGCTTTTGGAGCGTTTGCAGGGGATTGGAGTTGAGAGTGTTTGTTTTAGATTTTTTGGGGTTCGGGGCTCAGGGGTTTGAGAGGTTTTGCGAATGTGTGTTGAAAGCCCTTTAACCCAAAACCCAAAAAGTCTCTAAGCCTTTCAGGGAAGCTGCCCCAGCCACCGCAAGCCGTCTTTGATGCGAAGGAACTCATCTGCAGAGGGTGGCACCGTCGCTCAACACCATAGCCACCCCAGACCCCTGGGAGGATCCAAAAAGCAGATCCCCTAAAGGATGGGCTAGGACCCAGAGTAGGCCCTTATTCAGGGTTTTGGTTTTCCTTACAACACTCTTACAACCCACTTTAAACCAAAAAGGGCACCCTTTTTATTCCCAGCTTGCTCCTGGGTCTAGCCCCAGACCCCTGGGAGGATCCAAAAAGTAGATCCCCTTAAAGGATGGGCTGCTCTCTTGGGGGTTCCACTTTTTGGACCCTCCAAGGGGTCTGGGACAACCCTGGAGCCCTTCATGCTTAGGGTATGTTGAAAGGTACTTGAGGGTGTCCAGGAACCCCATGAGCCCTAAGCCCAATTTTTGTCTGGACCCCTGCTTCTTCGGGTAGCTACATGGCCCCTTCATCTGGTCCTAAGGGACTCTGTACCTACCCGAAGAACCCTAAACCCTAAACCCTAAGACTGCTGCGGGACATAGACTCGTGCTTCGGTGCTGAGGCTCTGTAGAGGGTGGGCTTCCTTTTTTATCGACCTGTCGCCTCGAGCTATAGGTTGGGTGAGTTGAGTGAGTTGGTTCTGAGACCCCAAGCCTAAACCTTGAACCCTACAGCCCTGCAGGTTCTCCCCCCCCCTCCCCTCCCCTAAAAACTTAAAAGCCCTAAACCCTAAACGCCGCCAAAAAAAAACCCAGAACTCCCCCTTCTTCCCCTTTGTGCCCTTCAGAAATGCTAAACGCCGACTCCAAGCAGCTTTTGGCCTGGGCGTTGTTTTGATTTTTTTTTTTTTTTTTGGGGGGGGGGGGGGGGGGGGGCGGGGGTTATAGGGTTTAGGGTTTAGAGTCTGATTTTTTTGGGGTTGTTAAGTTTTCTTGGGTGTCGGCATCGGATAAGTCCCGAGCCTTGCGTCATTCTCAGGCAACTGGCCACTTCAACCCGGGTCCCGCAACCAGCACCTAGGCCCTTGCTGCAGACGCATGGCTCTACAAGTTATCGTAATAGGCTGCGTAAGCCCTAAAAACCCTAAACCCTAAAACCCTAAAACCCTCAAACCCTCAAGCCCTAAACCCACAGGACGAGGCCCTTCCCGGCTTCACAGCCCCGAACTCCTCAGAGGCCCGGCCTGCGGGCTGGATGCTTGAGTTGGGTTTGTTTGGGGTTGCCCAAAATAGGGGTTTAGGGTTTAGGGTTTAGGGTTTAGGGTTTACGGTTTGGGGTTTAGGGTTTAAGATTTGGGGTTTAGGGTACCCTTTTTGAGGTTCCATTCGCTTTTGCGCGGAGCACAGACCACCACCAAAGCTATTGCCTGCGGTTTAGCGCCCACTTACAAGTAATGCCGAAGGCATGTGGCGGAACCCTCAAACATGCCTTAGAGTTTAGGGTTGAGGGTTTAGGGTTTAGGGCTTAGGGCTTGCCTCAAGGGGCCAATTAGATGCCAAAAGCCCCGTCTCCCTTTAGTTAATGGCCTCTCGGCTACCGTATCCATGACACTACTACAGGTGGAATTTTTGGGTTGTCAATGGGTGGAGTACGGGCCGGCATCCCTCCTGGACAAGGTATGAGGAGCTAGGTTTTCATGGTTTGTTGCTTGGGCTAGTCTAAGTAGTGTAGTACAGGCTCGCTTTGGTCCCTCTTTAGACCCAATAAACAATATGCAGTGCCCTTTCTGTATTTCGCTGTAGTGATCTGAAGTACATTTGAGGTCCCAAAAGCCCTCAAGCCCTAATCCATGATTGTCCCATGCATAAACCGTAAACCCCGAAGTCCATGCCCTCAATCCCTCACCCAGTCTAAGCCCCAAAACCCAAAACCCTAAACCCTAAGCCCTAAACCCTAAGCCCTAAGCCCTAAGCCCTAAGCCCAAAGCCCAAAACCCTAAACCCTAAACCCCAAACCCTAAACCCTAAACCCTAAACCCAACCCTCCAAACTCTAACACCCTGCACACATGGACGCCGGCGAGGCCATTTCTGCCTTCACCAAGGACCTCGTGCGCGGCAGGACCGGCCTGGGTTCCAGGAGGGGGGGAGGGGGGGGGTGAGGTTTAGGGTTTGAGGTTTAGGGTTTAGGGTTTAGGGTTTAGGGTTTTAGGGTTTTAGGGTTTAGGGTTTTAGGGTTTTAGGGTTTTAGGGGGTTTGGGTTTTAGGGTTTTAGGGTTTTAGGGTTTTAGGGTTTTAGGGTTTTAGGGTTTTAGGGTTTTGGGGTTTTAGGGTTTTAGGGTTTTAGGGTTTTAGGGTTTTAGGGTTTTAGGGTTTTAGGGTTTAGGCCTTGTTTTCTTTTTTTGATTAAAGGGGGGAACGTACCTTCCATTCTCATGATCATTATGAAGGGAGATTGCTGCTTAGTATGGGGAAGCTGGGAAATGGGCGTGGGCTCCCTTCAGCGTAGCCTCCTGTGATGTGTTTAGGGTTTAGGGTTTAGGGTTTAGGGTTTAGGGTTTAGGGTTTAGGGTTTAGGGTTTAGGGTTTAGGGTTTAGGGTTTAGGGTTTAGGGTTTAGGGTTTAGGGTGAGGGGAAAAGGCAGATCGTTCCCGAATCCTCTGACGCTTGGGCTTGGCATGCTTCAGTCGTTTTGAGCCTCCGGAGCTTTGCTACTATTTGCTTAAGAACCCCCAACAAACACAAAAACAATAATCCCTATACTACCCTTATAAGGAAGATTCTTTTTTTGTTTTTTGCTGGTTCTTAAGCAGTTGGTAGTTTAAGGTTTGCAGGGCTTGTAGGCGTTTCGAGGCTTAGGCCAAAGTCTTAGCAACCCCGCTTCCTGCCGGGAAGGCGGGGTTTGCTTTTGAAGAAGCAGCTTAAACTGGGAGCATGGTTCCTCAACATGGTCACACTGAACTTCCCGAGCCCTAAACCCTAAGCCCGAAACCCTAAACCCTAAACCCTAAACCCTAAACCCTAAACCCTAAACCCTAAACCCTAAACCCTAAACCCTAAACCCTAAACCCTAAACCCTAAACCCTAAACCCTAAACCCTAAACCCTAAGCCCTGCAGGAAGGTGGGCGTGGTGGCCCTCAACGGCAGCGCTGTGGACTGTTGGATTGCCCTGGACAAGCAGGCACGCGGTGAGTTCGGACCATTCGGGCTTGGGGTTGAGGGTTTAGGGTTTAGGGTGGGTTTAGGGTTTAGGGTTTAGGGTTTAGGGTTTAGGGTTCAGGGTTTCTGATTTGGGCAGGATTTGGGCTTAGGGAAGTCGGCCGCACTTCACAGCCCTGAAACTACCCTCGACTCCAAGACCCAAAAGCGGCCCAGATGTCAATAGCCCCAAACCTATAATTATTCTAGGGTTTAGGGTTTAGGGTTTAGGGTTTAGGGACCTAGGGACTTCCAGAAGCACTTGTCCCCAAAAACCCTCAACCCTTCGCCACCTGCAGCTCCGCTACCTCGTCATACAGCGCCTGGGCAAGAAGGCCCCTGGGCTTCGGCGCAAGGGTTTGGGGGCAACGGGAGGGTTTAGGGTTTAGGGTTTAGGGTTTAGGGTTTAGGGTTTAGGGTTCAAGTCCGGTAAGTCTTCAGGGCTTGTGGAACGTAGGGCTAGCGGGCTTATTAGAACCAAATTAGAACCTATAGTTCTGGCACCACCAGCGGTTTCAGTTGAGAAGATGTTTTCAGTGTTGGGTTCCGGAGGCCCTATACAGCCTAAACCCTACACCCTAAACCCTACACCCTAAACCCTAAACCCTAAACCCCCTATATTGTTTGCAAAGCGAACCTTGCTGGAGCTTACGGAGGACACTGACCCCCTAATCTGAAGGCTCAGGCTCCTCGGCCAACGTTCGGCACCCCAAGACAGTAAACCAAGCTTTGTACACACGAAAAGAAGGCAGGGTTTACAGTAGGGTTTAGTATTTAGTATTTAGGGTTTCGGGTTTAGGGTTTCGGGTGTAGGGTTTAGGGTTTAGGGTAGCCTCCGAGCGAATCTCGCTGAACCATTTGGGTGAGAATTTGGCCCTATTCTCTGAACCGTAGACTTGAAGAAACCCAACCGTGTCGCCCCTGGAGCCCGTCTAAACTCTTGCGACGCACTCGCTAGGGTTCAGAATTTTAGGGTTCAGGGTTTAGGGTTAACCCTAAACCCTAAACCCCAAACCCCAAACCCTAAACCCTAACACACGAGAAACAGGAGGCCAAGAGAAGGGCCGTGTCTCTGGAGTCGGTGGACCAGGTGCCGGGTTTGTTCTTAGGGTTTAGGGTTTAGGGTTTAGGGTTTAGGGTTTAGGGTTTAGGGTTTAGGGTTTAGGGTTTAGGTGCAGCCCCAACATTGTTTGCGTTGGGCTTCTGCGGGTCTTATGCCGTATACCTGTGCAGCTAGCAGGTGATAACCGCTGGTTTACATGCCCCCCGCCCCCCCCTGCCCCCCGCCGCTAAACCCTAAACCCGAAACCCTAAGTATGAGGTATTCGGTGGGCTGAGGGGGGTGGGGATTCAAAGTTTAGGCCAGGTAAGCCACCATGACTCGGGGCTCGCCCAACCCCGTTCGGTTGAAAAAACCAAATGCAAGTTTAGGGTTCAGGGTTTAGGGTTTAGGGCTAGGGTTTAGGGTTCATGGTTCAAGGTTTAGGGCTTAGGGTTCCTCATCCGAAGACCTTGGGGCCGAATTGTTGCGGGGTCCAGGGTTTGGGGGAGAATTGTACGCGAAGCCCTCCTGCGGAAGCGATCTGTTCTCGACGTGCTGGACTTCGAAACCCTAAACTTTTAGGGTTCTTACGGGAAGGGGTTCAGTAGGGGTGTGTAGCCCAAGGTTCCCTAATGCTCCCCACCACTCCCTATAGGCTCCCTCAGCTTCTTCAAGGTTCCCTAGGTACCATTCCCCCCCCCCCCCCCTGAACGCCCCTCTCTAAATCCCAAACCCCAAACCTCAAACCCCAACCCCCAAACCCTAAACCCCCCCCCCCCCCCGACTGGCAGCAGGTCTGCATTGGCGACGTGCGGGCCTGAGAGCCCGAACCCCGAGCTCCACAACTTAGCAGGTTGTAGGAGCCTTCCTTCTTCCAGGGAGGCCCCCTGAAAACAGAGGGCCAACAGGAGGCCCCTAACCCTAAACCCTAAACCCTAAACCCTAAACCCTAAACCCTAAACCCTAAACCCTAAACCCTAAACCCTAAACCCTAAACTAGAGTTCGGGGCTTTGGGCATGTAAGGAGTGTGGAGGCTCAAGCGGCTCAAGGCTGCTTTTCAGGTGCTACCGGGTTTTGGTCTCCAGGGCTCGTAGGTGCGGCATGGGGTTTAGGCTTAAGGTGTGGGGTTTAGGGTTTAGGGTTTAGGGTTTAGGGTTTCGGGTTTGGGGTTTAGGGTTTAGGGTTTAGGGTTTAGGGTTATCGTTTAGGGTTTAGGGTTTATTCTTTAGGCTTTAGGGTGTAGGGCTTCTACGAAGAACGTGTCAACACTAAGCGGTTTCAACGTGCCGAGTACTTGTAGGTTGGGCTAAGTCAGCTTCCGACCAGCTCAAAAAGCTGCGAAGCAAAGAAGGCGCTCACCTCGACAAGAAGCCTTCCATTCTGCACCATGCTAGCTGATAGCTCCATAGAAAAGCGCGTTTCCACACACCCCCAACAACCCTACCAAAATCAAAACAAAATCCTAAACCTTACCAAGAAAGCGTTTTATCCCCCCCCCCCGTATCCGCAACCCTAAGCCCTGAAAACCCTAAAACCCTGCAAACCCTAAAAGCCCTAAACCCTAAAACCCAGAACCCTAAACCCTGAAACCCCCAAACCCTAAAGCCCTGAAACCCTGCAAACCCTAAAACCCAGAACCCTAAACCCTGAGACCCCCAAACCCTAAAGCCCTGAAACCCTAAAGACGCCTCAGGAAGCGCAGGAGGAGTCGGGGCTTCCTCTCAACGACCTTTGCGTCTGCTTCCTTCTTCAGGAAGGGCAGGCTTGGCCCTCAAGGGTTTAGGGTTTAGGGTTTACGGTTCAGGGTTTAGAGGTTTAGGGTTTAGGGGTTTAGGGGTTTAGGGGTTTCGGGTTTAGGGCTGGGGTGTAGGGCTCCTGATGTTATTTACATGGGCTGGGATTATGGGCGTCCATCTCCTCTGGTCGTATTCTCTATATGATGGGGCCCGTATCTCAGATCATCCCAAACGGGGACAAGGCGTTGAAGGCTCTTTGTAGGGTCCTTCAGGGAGGGGGTTCATGGGGGGGAACCGCCTTAGGGAAGCTTCCTTCCTAGAAGTATTGGAGGGTATTCGGGAAATTTGGGCTGAGCCCCTGCCCCTCAAGAACCCTCTGAGCTTTTCTAGAATTTTCGGGTTTAGGGGTTTTAGGGTTCTAGGGTTCTAGGGTTCTATGGGTTTAGGGTTTAGGGGTTTAGGGTTTAGGGCTACAGGGGTCCGGGCTTCGGGTGACGTAGCCGTGGCTTAGCGCGACGATGCCGGAGAAACGCAACCTCGGAGGGCTTAGTAATAGTAGGAGTAGGTAGCTTTGAAATTGTTGGGGGGTATAGAACGGTATATATAGCCCTACCAGAAGTGAAAAGGCGAACTTTGTTTTTGGCCCAGGATACTCAGCAACTAGGAAGAAATTGAACCAAACAGTCTGCCACCTGCTGCCCGACAGAATGGGAGGGGTGCTGTTGCAGCATTTTTGGATTTGGGGCTCGCCTTCCAATCGCAGGGCTAGATAAGTTCAATTCAGAGCTTTTGAAGAGGATCTCCGAACAGTTGCTGTTTCGATTTGTACCTTCTTCTCTCACTTAGACTTGATGTCCCCCACCCCAAACCCCTAATGGCTCTAAAGGCTCATGGTATTTCTGTATCTTATTATACTGCTATATCATTGTTCTATCCTTATATGAGTACAGTCTATATTACTGAATACATATAATTCGATCTTACTGTATGCTAATGAAAGACTAAATTCTGACATGCTTCAAACTAGTGCACCACTTGTTTGATTCTACCTTCCCAAAATTTTGAGAAACACTGAGCCCAACTGGAGGATGGATTGAGGGTTTGGAGCTCATGCCATGCCTTAAGACCCCCAACAAAATGTACTACAGCAGTTCTTCCTAGTATCTCGGTGGTTGTGCCACGTCTCTAAAATATATGGTCCCCTGGAGGGGCCTTAAGGTAAGGCGGGCCCTCGAAAATTCGGCTACCCAAAAGGGGACCCTAATTTAGAGAGCTGACCGTATCTTGCGGGGAGGTGTCACCCTAGACCCTAAACCCTAAACCCTAAACCCTAAACCCTAAAGTTGCCACCTCTGGGGGGGAGGGGTCCAGGGTGTGGCTTCTTTTTTCTGGGTTAGGGGTTTAGCCCTAAACTCGACACCCTAAACCCCAAGCCCTAAATCCTAATTCTTGGGGGTAAGACTTCTAGAAGCCTTAGAAATCTAAGGCATCTTACCTGGAAACTACCTGGAAACCCGAAGTCCCGTTCCACCCTCGTCTCTGCGCGAGGCCATTGCTTTCAACCTTGGCAACTTGCAGGACTTTCCCGAAACCCTAAGGCTCTGGGGCCCTGAACCCTACGGCCCTAAACCCTAAACCCTAGACCCTAAACCCTAAGCTTCCCTTCGAGCACCAAATGTTTTTTAACATGACCACCTGAATCTCAACCTCCTTGCCACACACTTCGCTAAACACTGTATGGTTTAGGAAGCCCTAAAACCCAAAAACCCTAAACCCCGAGCCCCAAACCCTAAACCCTAAAACCCAAACCCCAAACCCCAAACCCCAAACCCCAAACCCCAAACCCTAAACCCTAAACCCTAAACCCTAAACCCTAAACCCTAAACCCTAAACCTCACTGCTTCTCTGGGCAAGGAGCGCGACACCTTTGCCCTGGTCATGAGCATGTTCATCGACCACCGGAGGACCGAGGCGCCGTGCTCTTGCTTTTGGGTTTTGGGGTTTAGGGTTTAGGGTTTGGGGTTTAGGGTTTGGGGTTTAGGGTTTAGGGTTTAGGGGTACTGGAGGAGGGGGTTTGCGGTTTAGGGTTTTTAGGGAGGTCTAGGAGGGTGCTTAGAGGGGTTTACGGGGGATTAGGAGGGTTTATGGGCGGTTTTTGGGTGGGTTTAGCGGGGGTTTAGGGGGCTTAGGGATGTGGAGGGTTTTTGGGGTATAGGGAACACAACTCTTCGTTTTGGAGTTTACGGGTCGTGCGGGAACTGCTGGAGCAGTCGTAGGGCTCCCACTGGGCTTGTACCTTCCACTCTCGCCCTTCCCTGGAGCATGATGTTGCTGGGTTTACTGATAGTGTGGAAACAAAAAAACAACACAGAAAACTCACTAAACGTCATCTAAGGTCTGGGACGTGTGGAGTTTCTAGGGTATACAGGGCTCGTAGGGGGGGTTAGGGCTTGCATCCGGCCCTTCACCAGACATCAAATAGCGGAGTCCTCAAGCCCATCCCCGACATCAACGCGTAAACTACTAGTTGCTTAAGAACCCCAAACGAATAAACAAATATAATCCCTATATTACTCTTATCAGGAAGAACTTTCTTTGGTGGGGTTCTTAAGCAATTAGTAGCAAAATCTCAACGCCCACAGTTGTTGTGATTGAGGCCGAGGAGAAAAAGACGCAGGGGACCGTTCTGCCTTCCTTACCCGTCGGCTGAGGGGGTCTCCGGCCAGCGCATTGACAGGCAGAAAGAGCGGCCTCAATTTCAGCGGCCAGGCTCCCCTATCAACAAGGCCCATGAAGCCCTCTAAACCCTAAATCCTAAAACCCTAAAGCCCTAAACCCAAATGCTTTTTCCTGAGATAGGCAGGGAATCCCCGAAAGCCCATCAACCGCCCCAAGCGTTCTCCCGGCCTCAGGGGCCTCTGTTTTCTGTCCGTTTTTGTCCTCTGTTTCAGAGATCACCTTCCTCAAGAAGAGCGTGACTTTGGGGATTGCTACGGTCTCCACTAGAGGGCCCCTCTTGATTCCGAGGTCGGGAACCTGGAAACCCTGGTACGAGCCCTAAACCCCAAATCCGACACCCTAGAGGCTCAAAACGCCCTTCATTTGGTTTAAGTTATATATAACATATATATAATATAATATAATATAATATAATATAATATAATATAATATAATATAATATAATATAATATAATATAATATAATATAATATAATATAATATATATATATATATATATTGCTGCCAGCCTTCTGATTTGCCCTAAGCTGGGTTCGGGTTTGGGCTAGGGTCAGGCTGGGCTTGAGATCTGGTCAATTTGTTGGGTCGGGGGTTTCAGGGCTTTAGGAGCTTTAGGGGGGAGTTTAGGAGCTTCATGGGGTTTAAAGGTCTAAGATGGTTTCAGTGTACCCGGGGGCCTAAACCCTAGACCCTAAACCTTAAACCCTAACCCCTAAACCCCTAAACCCTTAACCCTAAACCCTAAACCCTAAACCCTAAACCCTAAACCCTAAACCTTAGTTACGTTTGAGAAGTGTGGGCCTGGGTCTTTCGCCGCCCTTTCCGCAGCCAGCCGCGCGCACCGCTTTTGAAAAGATTTGGCATCTAGGCCGACACGGGGTTTCCCAAAACCACGGGTCCCCTTGTACGCATATTTGTGTTGCATATATGTACCTTCATTTGTTTTCTGGTTTATTTGTGTAAGCATATGTTTATTTATGGCAAACAAATAAACGTAGATGAACATAAAAAGATGTAGAAGCTCATATATATATATATACATATAGTTGTACACATCATAAGGGGGACCTTCGTTTTTGGGTTTCTGCCACAAGAATCTCAACAGGATAAGAGACTAAGCGCAGGGGACAGGGACTCTCCGGGAGCACCTCCTGGTGTGAACGCAGTCCTGCGGTTTAGGGTTTAGGGTTTAGTGTTTAGGGTTTAGGGTTTAGGGCTTAGGGTTTAGGGCAGTTCGTGCTCATCCGCATGGAGACAGACTAGAATAGGTAGGCCCTTGGGATATTTTGAGTTTTCCTTGGGTTCAGGACTTTACGGGCCATCCCAGCAGAGAATCCCCATTTTTTGGGGTTTCGGGTTTGAGGGTTTACCGGGTAGGGTTCTTAGACTTCCGACCCCTTAAGTAGGGTTTAGGGTTTAGGGTTTAGGGTTTAGGGTTTAGGGTTTAGGGTTTAGGGTTTAGGGTTTAGGGTAGGATTTTTCGGCATGGCATGGACGTGCGAGATCTCAGCCCCTGCTGCTGTTCGCAGTGTGATCTGGCTAATTGCATTTGCCGGGTCCTCGGAGAAAGCAGCCAAAGAGCGTGACCAAGCACCTACAGAAACATTGGGAAGTGAGTTGCCTTAGTTACAAAGGAGATATATTTGCACATCTTCAGCATGCTTTGAATTTCACAGCCTCACAGTCACCACAGTTTTGGAAGGTGCTTGCTGCTGTACGAGTTTCACTTCAGGCCCCTACCAGTAGGGGGGCTGCGTTCCCGGAGCATGCGCGCGAATGGATTGCTATGTCATACTTGACGGGTCCCTCTTCTTCTGCTGCTCTAGCAGCACACATAATAAATCCCGAAGCCCTGCGCCCAAGGCCCTCACCCTTTTGTCCACCTAAACCCTAAACCCTAAACCCTGAACCCTGAATAGCAATTCCTTGCCACGAGCCTCCTCCCTCTCCACCTTTCATGTCAAGCGCTCTTGCTCTGGACATCCGCCAGGGTTTAGGGTTTGGGGTTTAGGGTTTAGGGTTTGGGGTTTAGGGTTTAGGGTTTGGGGTTTAGGGTTTAGGGGGGGGCCTTTGCATGAGCCACTCCCTCACAGAGGTTTTGTGTTGACAGACTCGGGCCAAGTTGGAAAGGCAAAAATCGGAGTTGAGCCAAGGGTTGCTAGGGTTTACGGTTTAGGGTTTAGGTTTTAGGGTTTAGGGTTTAGGGTTTGAGGCTGAACAGACGCGAGGCTCTGAACCCCAAACTCCAAAAGCCCCAGATTGTAAACCCCTAAACCCCACCTCCTAAACCCTACCTGACGTACCCAAGACCTAGACTACCTTGGTACCCTTTGCCTTTTTTGGCTCTGGTTTCCCTTTTTGCAAAACTAACCCCAAAAAGGGGTGCCCTTAATATAATTAATATGGTTGCTGGGCTACTAAGTTACCCATCACCCAGGAATCCCATGTGGGGTTGCAGAAGCAGAGCCTAGAGGTGGGGGAGTTTGGGTTGGTGTTCGGGTGGATCTGCAATCCAGTAGAGCGGACATCTTACGGAGCTTAGGGAGTTAGGTAGGGTTCTCTTAGGGAGTTCGGAGGAAAGAGGGTTGACTTAGGGGGTTTAGGGAGTTTAGCTTTTTTCTTGGGACATGCGAGTTTGCGTACGCCTTGTAGAGTGCCTTCCCTGAATCCGACAACGCCGACATACCTAAGGCACGCCTCCCCGAATCCCCCAGCGCGCTGCCGGAACAATTTACGGTTTGGGGGTGTTTGGGGTTTTGGGGATTTGGGATTTCGGGTTTAGGCTTCCAGGGTTTTTAGGTTTTTGGGTTTTAGCGTTTTAGGGTTTTGAGGTTTAGGGTTTAGGGTTTGGCGTCATTATATACCGTTAAACCCCGAAAAGATCTCAAGCGCGACACCCTGAAGTTTATAAACCGCGGGTGAGCGCCATGAGCCCCAAGTGTCTCCCCCCACAGCTTGAGCCGCTGTCGGGCTCAAGAGGTGCGAGCGGTTGCGTTTAGAGGGCCTGAGGGGCTTTAGGGTTTAGGGCTTCGGGCTTGAGGCTTTCTAACACCAAACCAAAAAAGCCTATAAGTCCTATAAACCTTATAAACCCTATAAACCCCATAAACACTATACTGCCTATTAAACCACCTATAAACCCTAAAAACCCTAAACACTAAACCCTTACTGGGAGGAGCGTTCTCCAGGGCGTTGGAGGACGTGAAAGCGGGGGGGGAACCCGGCCATGGCTGGGATATCAGATGCTCAGCTCCTGAGGGGCCTCCCGGCTGGCAGAAGAGGTTTTTGGGGCACGACCCTAAAACCCTAAAACCCTAAACCCTAAACCTTTTTAACCCTAAGCCCTAAACCCTAAACCCTAAACCCTAGTATAAAGCTTGCAAACCTTAAACCTTAAGCCCTGAGCCCTGAATTGGAGCCCAGTCCGACTCCAACTGCAAATTCGAGGCCCAGAGAGCCCAATGTAGGGGCCCGGAAGAATCTTGTCCCTAGCCTCCTTGAAAGGGTTCTGGTGTATGGGCCCTTGGGTTGTTTTGGGTATGTAAGGGGGTATGGTAGTAAGGAGGCCCTTTTAGGGGCCATGCTCAGGGACCATATCCCTGAACTAAGGCACACACCTGAAATCCATGCTCAGGGCGGATGTAGAGTTTGGAGTTTAGACTTCTGGGCGTTTGGGGGTTTAGGTTGTGGGGCGCTTAGGGTTTCGGGTTCAGGGGCTTTATCCGGTGCTCTGAGGTTGAATCAGGTAGGGATCCTAAGCCTGGCCCCAGCAATGGTCTCAGAATCTCAAAAGGCTCCGGTTTGGTCTTAGGCCGCTTCAGCACTGCAGTTTGTTGGGCGCATGAGCTGTCAAGGCCACATTCACAAGGCGAAGAACTTCCCAACGAACTTGCTCAAGACCATCGCCCGGGCCGATGCGCCATCCGTGCATGACCTGCACGGCTACTCCTGCGCCTTCTGCCCGAGACCTGATGCGCCAGGCTTTTGCCCATGAGCTGCCCCAGCCAGCGATGTACACCTTCCTTGGCTGCGGACAGCATTCCCTGAAGCAGTACAAGATCGAGCTTCGGAAGGCATGCATGGAGGGCCTTCGTGAGGCCGGGCTTGAGGAGGACCGCCATGCCTCGGATGGGGCCCAGGGAAAGTTCAAGGCGATTGACGACCGGGATCATGGCATGCACATGGTCCGGGTCTTCCCGCGGCTGAGCTCTGCCGCAGCGTGTGAAGAGGTCTGCAAGGGTGAAGTGGATGCGGAGGATGCAAAGGCCGTGGAGGCAGAGCTCCTCGTCGATGCGGTCCAGGCGCGGGGCACCAGGAACGAGCTGGAGAAGATGAGTTTGCTGGGCCTCGCCGAGTTCCTGGGCGAGTTGCTGCCTGTTTTAGTGGCAGGTTGCAGCGGCCGCAAGCGCCTGGCCCGAGGCGAGGAGCCCGAGCTGCTGGAGTCGCGGGCCTCCGACGTAGTGGAGGACTTGCAGGAAGCATGGAAGCTCGGGCTCAGCTTGCTGCAGGTGGAGGCGGCTGCCCAGCGCCTCACCCAAGAGACCCTGGCGGCCTGCCTCGTCCTGTTGGGCGCCATGGAGGCGCAGCCGCAGAGCCAGGAGAGCAAGGGAGCCAAGCAGCTGCGGCAGCTCCGCCGCAAGCTGGAGGGCCTTCCCGTGCGCGAGGTGCGCGGGAGGACGGCGGCGCAGGAGAAGAAGCTGGAGGAGAGGTTGAAGCCGCGCCGCGGCCGCAGCAAGTGGTTGCTGCTTTTCTGCTAAACCCCAAACCCTAAACTCTAGACCCTAAGCCCTAAACCCTTCGCTCGAAATGCTCGAGTCCCTACGCCCCTGGGGCGGGCCATCTAAATGTAGCCAGTCTTAGTTGGCACGCCCTAATTTTCAGTCCCAAACGGCCCTCTGCATATGCATACATGTATGTGTATATTAGCAAGTAGATCAATACTTTTTATCGCCATATATATATATATGCATTT